CACTGGACGAATGCCATCAACAGCTTCACGTTTCAATGGGTACGGGGTTGATTTGAACGGAACGTGGACATTAACCCTACGTCATATCTGTGAGCTGCCCAGAGTGAGTATGGCACACCTGAAAGCGCGGCAGGAAGCTCAGAGATATGAGAATTACCCCATCATCCTCAACCAACAGCAATGTGCGCAGAACGGCTACTTTCGTGCACATTTTCATCATAATATACGTCACGTGACATATAATACATGACATATTCTGTGTGTGTAGGTGCCCAATCAGTGACTGACTCAAAACCCAAATCCCTCTATCTATCAGTGGGGCCCCTGGCTAGTGAAATGTGTGGACCGCCCCTGGGATTTGACACAGTTTGTGTTGTGTGGGTGTGAGTGCAACAGGAACCAGCTGCGCAGCAAACTCCAATACATAGTTTTAAGCATGAGCTCATCATTCACACATTCTAACAGAAAACTCATCATACGGATCACCAACAACGTTAGCAGTACAATGCAAATGAGAAGCCTCCATGAACACAGCAGGTGGAAAAAAACGTTGATCAGTCAAACGCAACAACGCCTGAGAATCAGGATATGTCAGCAGCCATTTGATACACATTCACCAGTTCTTTATCATCAAATGCCAGTTTTTTGAACAATCGTAGGAGATGGCTGCCAGACTTTAAGACCCTCATTTGTGGAAAAATGAGGTCTAAGCCGAACCGGAGAATCAGATCTCTGCCCAGAAAATGTATTGGGCAGACAGATGATAAAAGAAAACTGTTTTTTACTGATGTGGGAAATGGATGACTATCATCACCGTTATCTCTACTGTGAAGTGATACAAAAACTTCTCCTTTACAGTCACCCCAGCCGCTCCTATTGAGTGCATAAATCTACCACTAAATTTGCAATCAGGCAAATCTGCCCTTTTTACCACAGAATGTGTAGCCCCAGAATCAACCAAAAAATGGAACATCAACACCCATGATAACTAAAGTTAGTGTGGGACATTTCTTAAATGCTGTTTCACTGTCATATTTCAAATATATATACCCTCTTTAACCACAGACATGTCTTCTACATTTTCCAATTACTCAATAGCATGATGTGTGTGTGTGTGTCACTTCCCTGGTTCGATGCTGCTGGCTGAATTTCCGTCTCGCTCGATCGGGCCCCTTCCTCCCCATCTGGTGTAGGTCAGTCTGATTGTGAATGGCCCTGTCCTTGCTGTCCCCCTCTGCCTTCACTGCCAGTGTTCTGTGAGCAATCCCATAATCCAATGTTCAACACTGCTATACTTGAAACATCTTTCGTCAAATGAAGGTCTTGCTTCTCGTCTTCTGCCTCGGAAAACCTCTTCTGCCTCTCCCTCGGTATTGTGACCGACCAGCATTCTGCATAGCTTGCGCTGTGTGTCTGTGAGTCCGTTGAGAAAGGCATTACTGAGGTGTGTTGCCCAAACACCTGCTTGGGCTTGGGTTTGTTTATCCCGCTGTTGTCCCCATCTACTTGGGGCTGATGGGGGTGGCGAGCTTGGAGTTGACGGACTGCATGGCTGGGGCTTGTGGAGGTGGTTGAGGTGGGCCAGCCGGATTGCCAGGGTTGTACCCCGGGGGAGGGAAAGGATACCCAGTCGAGGAGCGGTCATTCAGGCCTGCAATGGAAGGACACAGAGATTTCTGGGGTTTACATGGTTTTGGAAATAATTTATTTTCCTTCTTTTCTTCACATTCATCTTCAACCTTAATATTTTCTTTAATGCCCCAAGGCCAACTGCCTTTTTTTTTTACTCCCCAGTATTATAAACACTTTCTTTGAGTGTCCAGTTTAAGTCTTTTACTTTAACTTTATTTGTACCCTTCATTCCGTCTTCGTGTTCTTGTAATTTATTCTTTAGGTTCTTGATTTTTAATTTACTCAAAAAAAACCTCCCTTTGGAAATCCGAACATTTCCGTGCAGATATTTAATTTAGACAGACTGTTTTCGCCATTTCTGCTCGCATGACATCCACAATCAGACCCTCAGGAGGGTGTATACAAGCCCCCTACCTGCTTTGTTCCCAAAACAAGGTCTTTAAGTGTTACCAAAACACCCCGTGTTACCAAAACACTATTTTTCACCCATCGGTGATGTGATATTTGTTTCTCAGTACAAATCACACAAACACTGATCGTAAACCCAGGCTACGATATATTGGATATCCCAAATATCCTACTTTCGAGCAGTCCCTCTCATAAATGTCATGGAGTTTAATTACGTTTAACTTTAAACAATTTAGACACTGTACATCTCACCAAGTATTGAAAGCCTTTTGAGTTTGTTGGATCTCGTGAAGTCAATCGGTTCCACCCCCGGCGCTGGTCCTCTCATCCCGTACGGTTTCTGTCGAGGTAGAGGAGGATCCGAGGATCCTGGAGCCGGCCACCACCAGCGTCCGTAGGTGTCCCCAATCGAACTTGCAGAGATCCTGCCGACAACGCCAATTGTTATGGAAATCTAAGACCCAACACACTGGAGAGTACAAGTCAGAGTGATCAAAAACAAATAAATGGTGAATCAGACAGAGTTGTCTTTCTGGTTATTTATTTGAAGCTTCAAATACATAGATACAATACAAAATAAAGACACAGGTTCTACAGAGTATATGATAGTCTGCAGGAGTGTGCGCAGATATAATAGGAAAGCAAAGCTTATATACAGCAAAGGGTGGGAAGTGCAGAAATCTGTCTTCACACGGTCATATTGTTATTAGACACCTGGCCTTGAGCTGTAGAAGTTCTCGTGTGACTTTGTGTGAGTCTCAACCCAGTAGCCAAAACAGCTCTGTGGCCTTGAAGCTCTTGGGAATAAACCCACAGTAGAGTAGATAGAAGAAAACAGCACATCTCAGGAAATGAGAAGCATTTGGTTTAAAACATATAAGGATATAATAAAAATGTCCACTACAGATGCCAATGAGGGTGGAGTAGTAGGAAGACCTAGCCAGGGAGAGGGCTTCTTTGTAGACATTTACACGGTCCTGGTATGCTTCGCGGTGGACAGCGAGGTCAGTTCTTGTTTTGAGTCTCTCTAGCCGACGAACAGAAGCCTTCAGGGCGCGGAGTTCAGTGGTGAACCAAGGGGCCGAACGTGTGAAGGAGACAGTCCGGGTTTTGAGGGGGGCTAGAGAGTCAAGGCTGAGGGATAGAGCTGAGTTGTAGCGAGCAACCAGGCCATCCACAGTGGTGGTAAGGGGAATGGAGGCTAGGTGGGCTGCTATCTTGCTGGTCAGGGCTGGTGCACTCAGTGATTTGGTGTTTCTGAATGTGATGGTGCGTTTTGCACGCTGAGTGGGCAGGGGGACAGGAACAGTAAAGAGTATGGCAAGATGGTCCGCAACAGCTAGGTCCAGGCACTGGAGATGGGAGGGAGGGGTGCCTATAGAGCACACTAGGTCCAGCGTGTGACCTTTGGTGTGGGTGGGACCTTGGACGTGCTGTGTGATGTTGAAGCAGTCGAGTAGTGTGAGAAATTCAGAGGCAAAGGTGCATGTACTAGAGTCGACATGGATGTTGAAGTCACCAAGCAGTAATGTGGATGGAGACCTGGAGCAGACACAGGTGAGCAGCTCAGCGAACTCAGACATGAAGATGGCGGAAGCTTTGGGGGGGTGGTATATGAGGACAACCTGTAGCTGTGATGAACCAGCCAGAGAAAAGGGGTTGTATTTACCACAGCTAGTTGTTTTATCGGGATTTAACAGCCAGCCCACCGCCCCGACCCAGGGAGCGGGGCTTCTGTAGGTAAATATAGCCTGGGGGTGTGGCTTGGTTTAAGGTGAAAAAGTCTTGTTGATTTTGCCAGGTCTCCGTTAGGCAAACAAAGTCCGTTTTCCTGTCAGTGATGATGTCCTGAATGAGTGGTGCTTTATTATTGATATCTACATTTAAATAAATAATATCAAAATAATAAATACCAATACACAAGATCAACAAACATGTTGCAGTGCACTGTCACAACCTGAAAACTCCTTAACATATAGCCAACATTTTGGTAAAACATATTCAACATATTCCACTCAGTTAAACATTAAAGGCTGGCCCACCGTCATGGTCCAGAAGTAACAGGAAATAAATGTTGAACTACAATTTAAGACCAAATAAAAATGTTTTAGTCACCATGGCAAATGCTGGTAGGGCTGCTCATGTCATCTCTTAAAAATGTTTTGCTAGAAACTAGGGCTGCTCGATTATAGCAAAAATCATAATCTCGATTATTTGAGTCAATAATTGATATCACGATTATTAAAAATGATTATCCATTTACTTTGAAAACATCATTTATTTTTAACAGTATGTTTTTAACAGTTGATTACCCTGAACTTTAAGTATAACTCAACTCAAAAACCAATTAAAATTAATTTTAAAAAAAATGACCGTTATATTTCGATTACGTTGTTTTCGTAATCGTTGCAAGCCATAATCGTAATTAAGGCAGAGGTGTCCAATAAACGTGCAACAAAATCTCTGGCCTATTTGAGCTAAGTTGCTAAATTAACTGATATTTGTCAAAATTGGTCTTTGAATTTAGCTTCAGTAAAACGGGAAGCATTCTTTATTATGTTTCCCCTCTAGCACTTCTTCATTACAAACAGAGTAGTTGAGTAGTTGAGTGACAGCTATAAATACTGCATTCAACCAAAAACCCTAAGGGTTTATGTTTTAGAACTTTCTTTAAAGTCTGTGTTTAACAATTTAACAGGGTAGGGCAGGTTTTGCATTTTCCTTTTAGAAATACATTATTGGCCCATCAAGATGTATTTCCATAATTACATTCCCCCCCCCCTACTTTGCTCAAACATAAAGCTTTAATTAATCTTTCTCTCCTTTGCCTCTTATTCTTAGTCATTTCTGTCTTTTATTTATAGGATATACTTTCTCTTTTAATTGTAGCATGTATATTCTCTGCATGTCTCATGTGTAAATGCCTGCTCCATGTTTCTCCCTTCTGTCATGTGCTCTAGATGTGTCGCTCTACCTCCACGTTCAGTTTGAGCGATTCTGCCAAGAGCAGTGCAGTGGTGCAGCGCTCTAACTCCCTGGACCACCCTCCCGTCAGAGCCAGGGTCCCCGTCTGTATCTGTACCCCCTGCAGCCCAGCACATAGCCCCGTCCGTAATGCTGCCCCTGATAGCAGCCAAAGTCCCAAGTTTGACCCGAGTACCAGAGAATCCAGGTCCATTCTCCATGCGCCATTATCCCAACCAGCACAAGCTCAGTCAGGCCGCTCCCCTTCCCGACAGTCTTCTTCAGTACGCCCAACCTCCGCTTCCATTCCAGCTGTCCCAAACTCCCGCCCAAAGTCTAGCCAGCTTGTGTACAGACACCTCCCCTCCGTAGGGTTCCAGCCTAGGTTCCCAACTCAGCAGCCCATTTATGTCAAAGGCAGGGAACCCCAAGCCCCCCTGGACCCATGCAAGGCTACCATGACCAGTCCTCGCAGGGAGACTCTGCTCTAAACCAGCGCTAAACCCAACTCTGGACTCTGATGTGAGCAAACATAATTCTGGTGTAGGGGTGCACCAATAAAACATTTTAAAATTAATCATTTCTACCTGCTCTGTATGTTGGCCTTTTTAACATCCAATCACCATAGGGTGCATACCCTGTCCCAAATCAACTCCTTAGAAGCTTAGACCCTATGATAAAATTGATTAGATTAATAATGGTCTAGATAAGAGGGGGTTAGAACATGTTGTAAGGCTTCTCCCCATTTGAGATCAGGTTCACAGGGCAGAGATTTTAAGGGTTGATTTGGAATATGGCTGCTCCTTGGAAGCACACGGGTGACTAACGGTCGGTGGTGGCTGGGAATGTTCACTAAGTGGTTGCTATTAATATTGTGATGTATTCAGAATGGTGTAAACAAGTTGGTGTAGAGCTGGGACATAAAAGAGATTTCATACGGGTTGAGTCCTGTTTTCTTCAGGGGGAGGGAGGTCCCTTTTGAAAGCATTCCATTATATATATATATAACATTTATTTTCCTGTGAGGTGTTTCTAGTCCTAGTACGTGCGGATATGAACATTATGAAAGAATGTTTAATTCAGAGGTCTTTGTTAAATTATAAGTCTTTATTATAGTAAGAACTTCAAGGACTACGACGGTAACTTCCATTTGAAGAAAATATCAAGGGTGAGAATCCAAATGTCAAGCCTTTGGTTTTGGATGCTTTGGCTAGTTTACTCAAAGACAGCTCGCTTGAATTGAAATGTCAGTCTTCATGGGAGACAGGCTGACCTCTCATCTGAGCTGGTGCTGACAGGTCATGCAGTATTTGTACCACCTTTAACTGCTTTTTGCAGATCTGGAACTAGAACCTAGTTTGTGCGAACCTTTTCACCCCTGCTAGAGAGGTGGTACTTTCCTGGGGAGGAAATGGTTCGTGGGTGTGTCGGCCACACTATCAATTTCTGATTGACTGAGCAAATTCCAAACCACGCCCCGTAAAACTCCAAAAAGTTTTGTGAAGCCACCATTTTATTTGCTCGCCTTAGCATTTGCCCAGCGCACCAACGTAGAGAGACTAACTGGGAGCGGTGGAGTGATTAGGAGGTGTCGGCGCTTCTGGCGATTTACTCGGAAGACGCTACCCAGCAGCTTCTACTGAAGCCAGTCCCCAACTCCGGGGACTTCCGGCCGGGGACTTCGGGTGGCAGTATACGCAGTGAAGTTGTTTGCGGCCTGCCAGTAAACCCAAAGCAGAAGAAGAAGAAGTGACGTCAGCGGCTTCATTTGCATAATCCTCCCCCAGGGACTTATTCCGGTGTGAACGCGATCTACAGGACAGTTCCAGGGACTAAAGACTTCGGGGGGGACTAAGTACCGCAAAGTACTTGTTGTGAAAGCGGCTATAGGCTCCCTCGACAAAAAGCAATACATTCCGAATATCAAAGGAACCAAGCTCTGATGTTAACATCCGTTTAGAATAATGACATGTTTTGGTCGCAAGGTTATCCTCCGCACATTAACACTACCTCAATAATGATTGAAACAAAGGACAATCTTCCGAAGTAAATAGACAACTTTAGGCTATAAACGAACTACACAGTCACAACATCGCTAAGCTAAAGGTGGCTAATGTTTGGTGTGGTGAAGTTTAGTTATCTAATTTATACACATTAAAATGAAATGTAATGTAACATTGAAGCTTCGGACATTCACCAGTGGGGTATTTACTGACATTTTATCTCGTAAAGCAGGGATGTCAAACTCAATTTCATTGCGGGCCACATTGGAAATATGGTTGCACTCAAAGGGCCGGTTGTAACTTTAAGACTACCGTCATTTTTGGACTATAAGGCGCACCTGAATATAAGCCGCAGCAGCTAAATTGAATGATGTGTACATATATAAGCCGCACTGGACTATAAGCCGCAGGTGTTTTAATGTTTAATTACCATATGTAAGGGTTCGTGCACAGAGGGGATTGTCGGGAAAGAGATGGCTGTTTGAGGAAGCTCCCATTTATTAACATTTCAACAAACAAGTTGCTTATTTGCATAACGTATTCAAGTGTTACCATTTAGTGCAATAGTAGCTACAGAACATGTACTGTGCTGTGTAAACTGTACTGTATCACATAGCGTTTCAGACAAACAAACTTTTAAACTTAAACGGTGCGCTCCCAGCGCACGTACCGGCAGTGATCGTTTGTTTTCCATAATGAGGGTTTGTGCATGAAAACTTCCTTTGCACAAACTGTCTTGCTCTCGTTCTGTCTCTCGTACCACTCTCGGTTCCACTTTTACTTTTGCGCGCTACCTGTCTCACTCTTTTCCGGCCTCCAGCTTTTCCTGCTGGAGCCCGCCGCTTAAAGGTGGGGGGCGCGGACCGGCCATAGAGTTAAAGGTGGTGGACTGTAACCTGTAAAATCCATAGATTTAGGAGGTCCCCTAGTGGCCGTTAGCTGTAAAAATCCATAGATTAGCCGCACCGTTATATAAGCCGCAGGGTCGAAAAATGGGAAAAAAGGCGCGGCTTATAGTCCGAAAATTACGGTATATAAATATTTAATATATATAAAATGATATTACATTATTGCCTCTGCATTGGATTATTATCGGATAGGGTAATAACTTCATAATTAACTACGTCTGAAAGCAGAAGTCTATGGCAAATAATTGGAAGTCTTTTTGGTGAGAATGTCACAAAATGATTTAAAAAGAAAAGCGAAATTCTGGAAAACAAAGTGACATTTTGAGAAAAAGTCAAATTCTGAGAAAAAAAGGCATATTTTGAAGGAAAAACAGTCAAATTCTGATTTTTTTTTTCTAATTTGAGATGCATTGTGGGACATGTAGTTTATGGGCAACGTGCTTCTGTAAATCGGCATTTAACCGTATAATAAACATATTATATTCTTTGCAAGCTCTTGTGGGCCACAGAAAATGAAGTCACGGGCCGGATTTGGCCCCCGGGCCTTGAGTTTGAGACCCCTGTCGTAAAGCAAACAGGAAAGTATCTTAAGCTTCTGTAAATCACAGACCTTATTTCATGCACCTAACCAAAAACAGGTCCAAAAAATAAATAAATATGCATGAACTGTAATAAACAAGTGAATTAATAAAGGTCATCTTTTCAAACACTTGAAAGGTATTTGTAAGAAATTTGATTTATTCCTCACAGAGTGCAGCGGTTGTGGTTTTCATGGTGAAATATAGGTATTATCTTTAGCATCCTGCAATCAATCCATATTCCTAGCATATATCGTATACCAGTGATACCACCACGTATCGTCGGGTCATGACCTTACATCACTGGAAGCGATGGCAATCTGTTGATGTCTGTGTTCGAGTGTGTGCCTTGACTGAATCCAAAATTGAGATGATTCATGCACACTGGCATAAATCAAGAGTTCATTAGAATGCACGCGTAGTTCAGGCAGGTAATGAGGGTCAGATATGTTTGCATTGTGACCAGGACTGCCCTCAACCTTGCCTTCCCCTCTAGTGAGAGCAGCGCCGTAATTTGTTCTCTCACTCCGCAATGTTTTTCTGAAGCGCTCTAGTACCACTTACTCGCGTTTAATCTGAACCGCCATTCACCAGATATTTTCATCTGCTGACACAGATGGAAAGAGAAACAGAGCCTCTGCCTACATGCTGGTAGCGGACCGTGTGTGTCACCTAGTAGGAGGCTACTAAACTATAATTGTGTTGGCAAAAGTTGCCTTTCTTGATGAGTTCAGAGCCAAAGTTTGTATTTGAAGGCGGAGAGTATGAAGTAACAGCATGTTTCTTTGTGTGCTCAGCAATTCAAATTAGACTGACACATTAACCAACCTTATCACATACACACACACACACACACACACACACACTCTGAACTAGATGGCTCACATTACAACCGATCTTGTTGCGAAGGCATTTTTGTGTGCATTTCAAGGGAGTTGGGATGGTGGTAATTTCCTGTTTCAAATGGGAGAGCTGGTCCTCCTATGTTTTTTGGTATATTTTCTGTATGCTGCTACACAATTTTACCTGTAAAATAGTGTAATCAGTATCCTTATCTGAGTAGGAAATATTTTAGGATAAAAAACGATTTTATTGATAGAAAAGCTGCCTTTCATTCAGCATATTCAGGCAGCAGCCTATACACCAGTGTTTCTCAAACTTTTTCATACCAAGGACCACTTAACCAATAATAAAACACCTAACTCCACAAATATCCCAAAACACATCGTTTTTCTAGAACAGATTATAAATCGCCTGAAAATGGTACAAACAAGTGGCAACGTGTGTGACGAAGGTGTTGCCCTGGGCTTTATCATACACTAGAAAGTGAAACGTAAGCTCGTTCCATTGCGGAGATATTCCCGCGAGAGTGCGGAAAACTTAAATGTATTTATTTATTTCAAATGTGAAATGTTACCAATATACTCACGGACCACTAGGGGGCGCTCACGGACCACCAGTGGTCCGCGGACCACACTTTGAGAAGCACTGCACACCAACACTGAAACACATGAGCACATACTACATACTACAGTTTAAAAAAGCAGAAATAAAATCTGAACTGACAGAAAATATTTTATGAACGTATAGGTTCACCTACTGAATTAAAAACAGATCAAATGAAGCAAAGAAAGTGAAAACCATAAAGCAGATTCAGGCAGTAGACGTATAGATTCACTCTTTGAGTATTAGCCTACAGAACAGTACATGCTCTTTTTAGTTTTTTCTCAAATTCCTGCTAGTAATCCCCAATTTATAGAAATGTCAGTCATCTGATCAACTGTTCCAGTTACAGTTTTTGGTATCATGATAATGTAATCCTGTGACATATAATCCATTACTCCCCAACCCTATGAGCAATATATCAATATTGTAATATGAGACCTAATATCACAAGTATGTTTTCCTGGTTTTTATACCTGCATTACTTTAAAGTGATGTTATTGTCAGAATCGACTTGTCTTTTGTCTCAACATGCTAAGTCATTACATCCACAAGACGATGATTATTATTATTATCTTATTTTAAAAATA